AATGATAACAATAGAAATAAGCTTATAGAATCTCTTTTAATTATTGAAAAATGGGCTAAGAATAATGGATTAAGTATTTCTATAGATAAATGCCTCTGCCTCTACATAGGTAAGAATAATGATAAGCAACAATATTTTATAGATGGACAACCAATCAAGAAAGAGAATTGTGTTCGCGATCTTGGAATATTAATAGACACAGATCTATCCTTTTCTGCACATATAACTAAAATTACAAAACAAGCCTATTCAATGATGTATCAAATATTTAGAATATTTAAATCCAAGGATCTTGATAATTTAGTTTTTGTATTTAAAACATATTTGCGTCCTCTCTTAGAGTACGCGACTGAAATTTGGAGTCCCTTAAGAAAAGATCACTTAATTTCGCTTGAAAAAATACAAAAAATCTTTACCAAAAAAGCCTTTAAACAATGCGGATTAGTTGATAAACCTTATGAAATTAGACTACAAATTTGTAAATTAAAAAAATTAGAGGAAAGAAGAGTACTTGCCGATCTTTGCATGACTTATAAAATACTTAATAATTTCACACATTTGGAACAAGAAAAATACTTTACTCTAACTAAAAGGGCCAAAAGAAGAATTCATCTTTTACAAAATAAAAGATTCACTAGCAAATCAAAAAATAACTTCTTTGCTCGCATAGTCTCCTTATGGAACAAATTACCCAGGGAAATTGTTGAGATTAGAGATTTAAAAAAATTCAGGGAATATACCAAAAGAATTGATTTACTTAGTCTGTCTAGTACTAGTGTTTAAAAAAAATTTTTTTATATATATACAAAATATTCATTTTTACATTCAATACTTAATTTTTTTTTAATTTATTTTTTTTTAAATTTATTGTATTCACAACTTATACATATTTTGTTTTTTTTACAATCACTGTCAGTGTACTTTTATTTGTACCTGTGATTGCTGCATAAATAAATATTAAAGAAAAAAAAAAATATTATAATTTTTATTGTTGCGCTCATCCCCCTTTCCAACAAAAGTACAACAACACACAACTCTTCTTTTTTCTAGGAGAGTTGATTTTACCTGTAATAACATTCCCAATATTCCCCCCTTTACTTTTTCTCTTCACAACTCATCTTTGCTTAGATACAAAAGATCAACTCGCTGAGAGAGTGTGTAAAAAGGAGAGATTTTCTCTAACTTCCCAATATTCTCCTTTAACTGTAATAAGAACGGGAGGGGAAAGGCTGAAAATCTCTATCTTATCCCTCTTTTTGGAAGATATCTCGGATCCTTTTCCACACCTCTCTAATAGTCGCCCACCCCCTGGTAAATGTTTAATTTAATTTCCCACTGCCAACACAACCTTCACGCCCTCACAGCACACTCCCTGACGACTTGCACCCAGTGAGCGTATGGCTATTTCAGGAGCCGGCTCCGAGCCGGAGCTAAGACTTTAAAAGCCCGGAGCCGGAGCCAACAAATGCCCAATAACGAGCACTGCTTGTACCCTTACGTCCTAGCGACCGCTCTGTTCCCCAACTCCAACCTCTGAAGGAGGCTGTGATAAGATAGAGATTTCACGGAAATTAGGATATCTGAGAGGGAATCTTCTGCATTACTTCGCTATTACCTTTCAAGCTTAAAAACAACAAAAATAGCCAATTTAAAATCTTTTGTCACCGTAAATTTTTTTACAAAATATCCCCTCATCCTTTTCTTATTTTCAACACTCAATTAAGTAGACAATTGTTTATCCATGCAGTTAATTGCGCATTTATTTTGCTAGCTAAAGGTTTAAAGGCTTTTCGGAAAATTGTCTCTCCGCTATTTTTGGTTAGATAAACAATTGGATTTGTTCTTTTAAAAGTTCCTTCTAATAGACGCCCTCTCTCTAATAATAGCCCTTTTCTGTTATAGAGGATTCTTTCTGAGGATGGGCGATTATTAGAGAGGGGGATATTATTGAAGTGAAATGCTCTAAATAATATAGGTACTTCTCTTTATAGGCCTCTCTAATAGTCGCCCACTCTCTAAAAAAAGGTACTCTCTAATAGAAGCCCTTTTATTTGAGAGAAGATTCTTTTGAGAGTGGGTGATTATTAGAGAGGGGGCTTTTATTGACGTAAAATACCTATAATACCACCTCTAGTCCCTCCCTAATTGTCGCCCACCTTCTTAAAAAGGTACTCTCTAATAGTAGAACTTTGTCTCTGAATATTAATAGCTCAACAATAATGACTCCCTAATCAACAATACTTGAAAAGGAATTCGATCAAATAAAATTTAAATAAAAAAACTTTGCTTAAAATAAAGCATAAATAAAAATAGAACAATTAAAAATGAATAAATAAACAAAATAAATTTATTAGAGAAGGAAAGCGATGCAATAAAAAAAAATAAATAAATAATTGTGGCCAACTCGGCATGACTCCAAAAAATTTTTTTTCTCCTTACAAAAAAATAGAAAATAAAGAAAATAAAATTCTTTTGTTATGAAAAAGGATTGCGCAGAATTCTTTCTAAATAAAAATTTAATCTTTAAAAGGGTATAATTGGGTGGTTTAAGGGAGACAGACAATTAGGTTTTAATGAACTTGTTTTTGTATAAAATCAACAGAGGAGGGTCTAGAAGCTTGAAATTTTGCGTGGATATGTCTAATATTGACAGCTAACAATTCTGAAAATTTCAGAATTTTTAGTTTTGTATTTCAGAATTTCTGGCTAAAAATATCAGAATTTTCGTGGAAAATGTCAATTTTTGGTAGTTTTTTGACCATAACTTCTGAAATATTTAACCAAAAATTCTGAAATTCTCAGAGATGTTAAATAATAGTATTAGACAGTCTCCCTAAAAATTTCAGAATTTTTGGTTTCATATTTCAGAAGTTGTAACAAAAAATTTACTCATTCTGGCAAGAAATGATGATTTTAGTTAGTCTTTTGACCAGAACTTCTGAAATTTTTATTCAAAAATTCTGAAATTTTCAGAATTGCTAGCCAACACCATTAGCATATACACAGAAAATTTCATAACACTAGGTTCTCATCTGGCTATTTTACAACCTTCCGCCTAAACGTCATCAACCCCCCTCCCCCAAAATAACCCTTCTATAAATTATCAAAATAAATTAAAAATAAATATTTTGTCTATTCAAAAATAAAATTAGATCATTTTAGCGCAGAAACGAGAGTATAAGAAATTAAATAAAATGAATTGGATGGATTTTTGTTTTATTTTGGGGAAGACAACGGTCGCCTTCTATCAAAATAACTTATTAATTCTTCCGTTATCCGCTGTCCGATCAACAAAATATTTTTATATAAAAATTATCGCAATCGCCGCTCAAGACCTTCAAATATATGTCTGGCACAAGGTCATCACGTCTTTGAAACTAATCTTTTTTTTTACAATTTTCTTGAGGGGTAGAAATCGAGAATGGACTGGAATGATTGAAATTAATACTTGGCTAGGTGTGCGCAAAATTAATTTTATGGGGTGTGAAAACGCCAAAATAATAGATTGGCGTTTTTATACCCTATAAAATATTTTTTGCGCACAGTAAAAGTAGAATGATTTTTATATTTTGTGTTTGCCTATTCTTAGGCTTTTTAGGCGTTTTCGTTTGCGATTTATTTGAGTAAAAATTTTGCTTCTTGCATCGTGCGTCAGACGCTTGAAAAAAATTTCTGGTAGAAAAATTTTATTTTTTGCGTCGTGCGTCAGACGCTTGGAAAAAATTTTTTTGCGTTCCTACTGAATTTTTCCCAGGTCCAAAATAATTTTTAAAAATTTAAGAAGAAAAACTTGATCCCTCCAATACCTTTTAAAAGAAAAAATAACAAAAAGAAGACCAAATAAAAATGTTTTGACTAATTTGCGTTAACCATTTAATTGTCCAGCTTTATCCAATTTAGAAAAAAATTCTTGAATTGTTTATTGGAATTAGAGGAAATTCTTGTTTTTTATTTATTTAAATATACCAGTTTTTTAATCCAATCACGTAAAAAAATCTTCGACAATTAAAAAACAATTAAAGAATTATTTTAGTCAAGACCATCAGAGTCTGGAAAATAGGGGGAGGAAAAAGTATCTCCCCACAAAACTCAGACTTTAATGGATTTTTTGGAATTATTAATTAATTAAATTAGCAGGGAATCAGAATAAATTTTGAGAATAATATTTATAGACAGTTTAGACAGAAAAAAGTGAGAGGATTTAATAAAAAAAATTATTTAGAGTTGATTATGGGAGAGAATATAAATTTAGGTTATGACCTAAAAATGCACTTTTTTCTGGTAATTTTAATTTTTCTTTTGTATTTTATTTTCTCTATTTAATTTTAAAATAAGCTAAAAATTTATTTATAAAAAATTAATTTTCCAAAAAAATATTTAAAATAAAAAAATCCCCTCTTTTTTAAATTCAGTCCAAGTTCAGGTTCCGTCTTTAGGCCATATTTAGGGCATAACTTTCTTGATCCTTAACCGATTTAAATAATTCTTATATCAATCGAAAGCTCTTGATTTGAGAATTATTTTATCTATCAGGGTCGATTTGATCAGATCACCATACTAAAAGTTACGGCTAAACAAATAGTAAAAATCACGATTGCGTACACTTATTTAACTATAACTTTTAAAAGAATTTTTTGAACAAAAACATTCCTACTAGATAAAATAATCCCCACATCCAGAGCTTTCGAATGATATAAAAATTATTTAAATCGGTTAAAAATAAAGAAAGTTATGGCCAAAATAAAGTCTCGGGACAGCAATATTATTTTCGATTTGAAAACTTAACGGGGAAAATTTTAATTTTTTGGCGAAATGTTTAATTAATTTATTTCTCTAATTTTTAAGTGTCTCTCTTATTTTTACACACTATTTTCACTTACGACTAAAATAAAGTAAAAAAATAAATTGTGGAAGAAGAAATGATTCTCAAATATTTATTTTTGTTGTTAATTTAGTTTAAAAAATTTATTTTTTTATTTTATTTAAAGAAGGAAGGGGAAATGTTTGGAAATTCTCAAATGACAGATGAAGAGGTTTTGTGGTTTTTTAAATTAGTCATTTATTTTAAATTACTCATAGCTTCAAGAAGAAATTAAATGGCAACGAGAACATGAGGAATTACACAGAAAACATCAGGTTTTGAATTTTTTAAATTTTTAAGGAAATAGGGGGCATTTGAGGAAAATTATTTACAAAATTTTCTCTGGTGTGTATTGTCTCTCTTATACAAGTCTATGTATTTCTACACTATCTCGTCTTTTGTCTAACCAACAAGAAAATTACTTCCGGAAAATATATTAACTGAGAACTTTCCGGAAATTTTAGGTCAATACGTTCCGGAAAGTTAGACAAAAATAAAATAGTGTGCAATCCTGTGTATTTTGTAAGAGAGACATTCCCTGACAGACAAAAAAATTATTCTAAAAATTTTTCTCTGGTGTGTATTGTCACTCATATAAAATCTACGTATTTGTGGACTATCTCGTCTTCTGCCTAACCAAAGACTGGAAGGGGACTTTCCGGAAAATGTTTTATCAGAGACCTTTTCCGGAAAAACTAATTTCTTTAAAGTGTTAGACAAAAAACGAGATAGTGTGCAATTCTGTGTATTAACATGAGAGAGACACCCCTTGACAGACAAAAATTTTTATTTTTAAGTTAAAATCCTTTAAAATTTAAATTAAGGGTCACGATGCAATGCATGCCGAAATGTTTATTGTTTTTATTGTTTCAATGGTCATTGCCCAAATTTGTTTAATGATTTGGAGAAGAAAACATGTTCGGTCCTATCAGGTTTATTTTTTAAAAAGTTTCAAAAAAATTTTTTTCTTCTCACAGATTGCAACCCTTCTCGGTTTATGGCTAATTCCACTAATTATTTGTATACAAAAATTTTGGTGGCGATTTTTGTTAAGTTGGGTTTTGTTTACTTCTGCAAGTTGGTATATTTGGTGGAGAGTTAATCAAACTGTTATTATGGGAAGTACTCCAAGGTTTGTTGGTTTTTTTTTGAAAATAGGGATGAGACGGGTTGGGAAAAATGTCTGGGTTTGGGTTGGAGTTCCAAATTTTTTTCTTCCGATTGTGGTTTTTGGATCGGAAAAAGTTTGGATTTCAGATATCGGGTAGCTCAAACCATCCCAAGTAATCCTGCCCATTTTTTGACTAAACCAGCACATCCTTGATATGAATGAAAAATTAGAAGAGTTATTTTTAGAATAATTTTCTTATCAAAGATGAGGTGTTTACTCAAAAAATGGGGTGGATCATTCGGGATGGGCTGGGTTACCCAATATCTGAAATCCAACCTATTTCCGACACGAAACCCAATCATTATTCCATCCAATTAAATGAAAGCTTCTTGAATTTTTCGAATAAATATTTTTTATTCATTTTTATATACTTACACTTAAATAAGAAAATAGAAAATCAACTCTCGAAAAGATTTTTTTCTTGAATTTCACAAATTTCCTTTTAATATTTTTTAAAAATAAAACAAAAATCTTTCCTCCAATTTTAATTCTTTTTCCAAAAATTTTTTTTCCAATTTTTTAGACTAGTCTACAAATATTTTCTTTTTCTTCACAAAATGAGTTATATTTTTGGAATTATTGGCTATTTTGCTTTACTTTTTACTTTAATTGGAATTAATTTAATTTTTGGAATTAGACCAAATACTTCATTGGATTTTGGAATCCATTTTTTGTTTTATGGACTTTATTATGGTGTGTTAAGTAGAGATTTGGCACATATTTTGACTGACAGACTTGCCTGCAAAATTGGGGTATTTTTTTGAATTTTTATTTGGGGGAATTTTAGGGGAGAATTTAAGAAAATTGAGAGTTTGTGTAGTTTCCCTCCCATAAGCCCCGCCCTTTTTTCTGTCTTCTTTTTTGTTATTTATGAGTCCAATGGACATTTATAAATCCTAAAAAGTCCTTTAGACTCTTTTTTGAGGGGAAATTTAGGGGAGAATTTAAGAGAATTTAGTATTTGTGTAGTTTCCCTCCCATAAGCCCCGCCCTTTTTCTATCTTCCTTTTTATTATTTATGAGTCCAGTGAAAATTTATAAGTCAAAAAAAAGTCCTTTGGACTTTTTTGAGGGGAATTTTAAGGAAGGTTAAGAAAATTTAGTGTTTGTGTAGTTTCCCTCCCATAAGCCCCGCCCTTTTTCTATCTTCCTTTTTATTATTTATAAGTCCAGTGAAAATTTATAAGTCAAAAAAAAAGTCCTTTAGACTCTTTTTTGAGGGAAATTTTAAGGAAGGCTAGGAAAATTTAGTATTTGTGCAGTTTCCCTCCCATAGGCTCGCCCTTATCTATTAGGAGTCCATTGAACATTTATAAGTCCAAAAAGTCCTTTGGACTCGTAAACTAAACTATAGCCATTTAATTTTTTCCTTGAAAAATTTAAAAAACGAGACATTTTGTCCCAAAAGGTCAAGAAGCCGGAATCCCTCATTTTTCAGCGTCACAGTCGAAAATTTTTTATTTTTTTTATTTTTCTCCCCCCCCCCCCCCCCCCCCCAAATACATATTTTTCCTCTTCCTTCATTACTCGCTGTATTTTTAATTAAAAAAAATTCTTTTTAAAGTATTTTACTCATGATGGTTTACCCAAAAGAGTATTAGAAAATGGTGTTTGTGCTGTTTGTGGTAATCCATTACATTCTTTATCAGAAAATGGAAGTCATTTAAATTTACAAAATGGGCATACTCCAACGGTGCTTTCTGAAGCTATGGAAGTTGAAGAAGAAAAGGTTTTTTTATCTTAAAAAAATAGGAAAAAATATTTTGGAAAAAGATTTAATAATTTTGGGTATTTCTATTTGATTTATCAATATTTATTGATAGAAATTTTGTAGCACCCTCCCAAAACACGGAACATTTCTAAAATCAGAATTTTAAAAAAATTCGAGAATTTCTGTTTTTAAAAATATTTCGTATTTTTGTCGTTCCCGTACTTTTGGTAGACCGCGTTTTGTCTGTTTCTCGTTTTGACCCTCAACCTTTTTCCACTACACCAAAAAGCACTTACTCGAAAACTTTGATTAATTTTCTTTCTAAATTTCTCTAGATATATACACTTTCCTGTAATCATGTATTCCATGAATTTTGTATTAGAGGTTGGTGTGTGGTAGGAAAATTACAAACATGTCCTTATTGTAAAGAAAAAGTTGATTTGAAGAGAATGTTCAAAAATCCGTAAGAATTTTAATATTAAAAAATTAATTTTTTTGTCGTTCATTTAGATTGAAAAATATGTAGAGAAATAGGTTTCATGGTTTCTTTAACGGGAGAGGAGCCTTTTTCAAATTAGAAAAAATTTAAGGAAGATTTTTATAAGGAAATACCTCAAGGGATTTTTCAGACACTTGGGTTGTCCTTAGGTTCTCACAAAATAAACGGAACATCTCGGAAAAACATCTACAAGAATATGCAAAATTTCCTGAAATATATACGAGGGGAGGGGGCGAAATATGCAAATATATGCATTAAAACCGGGTCCTAGACATTAAAACCGGGTCCTGGACTTGTTACTTAAGACATCGTCTCACTTCGCTTTGTGAACCTAGACAGCTTTGTGAACCCCTAGTTATCCTCCTATTTTTAAAATTTCTTAAATCAAATATTTCCATTTCTTTTTTTAGATGGGAAAAACCTCATTTATTTTATGGACAATTGCTTGATTGGGTACGCTATTTGGTTAGTTTTCTATCAAATTTTTATCAGAAAACATTTTAATATTAGGTCGCTTGGCAGCCTATTATTGTAATGATTGTTCATTTTATTAACACATACATGGGACTTGAATAAATTTTTTTGTTAAATTTTATTTTTGCTTAAAACTATTTTTTCTTGTAAATTTTACAAAAATAAATTATTTTTAAAAATAATAAAAATATGTAAAGTCTCTTTCAGAAAACAAAATTAAAAAAATAGACAAAAATAACCCAAAATAAATAATTTTTAAAGTAGTAAGTGTCTTTTAATAATTTTCAGAAAAGAACCTCAAAATTAATCAAAATAATGGTGATTCCCTTTCTTCGTAAAAATTTGTTTTGACTTAATCGACGACGGGTCTGATTGAGTTGATTGATTTATTGCATCCTTATATTCTTCTAAATTTTTCCTTTGATATTTTGGAAGTGTCAATTCTCCATTTTTATACCAACCAATTAATTCTTTATACATATTCTTCCTTTCCTAAATAATTAAAATTCTTTAAAGAAAACGAATAAACACTTCCTAACCCCATTCCTTTATACACCAAGGGGGCTGAAAACGACCCCCTAGCTACGCCTTTGCTATACATTATTTTAATCCAGGTTTTAATTCGGATTCGCCTATCCCATTCTATTAAACTAGAGTGTAGAAAAGTCGCAAGTCCGTGATCCCAAAATGGGTCTTTTCAAAAGCTTATTGAAACCAGAGCGGGATCCTGCGGAATTTATCCAATAAATCTCAATAATCCCCGTTTATCACTTAAAACTCCGAGATTCCAGAACAGGACCCCGTCCGTTCTCCATATTAACGTAGACTCTTCCAGGTTTAAGATTATTTTATTTATGCTGAAAAAACCGCTGAAAGATGCAGAAAAAATTTCAGAAACTAGACTTCCAATCATCTCCTAGAAAATATCCCTTGTCCTAGATATCAGCGAAAACCTCTCCCTTTAATTTCAATAATTAAATAACCTCAATATTTTGCCTCATTCCATACCATCTAGACATCCAAAACCCAACAGACATTGTATTTGAAAAAATTAAGGAAGAGGTTGTAACATTTACTGGATTTTGAGACATTCCTCCATACGTCACCATAGTACCTCCAAGCTCGAGAGCACGGCTCAAAAGCATTCCACTCTTTCCTCCAACACAATTTAAAGCCAATTTTGCTCTGAGTTTTTTGGAACGAATTAAAGTTGAAAACTAGAAATTAAAAAATGAGAAAGATTTTGAACATTTTTAAACCTCTTCTTCTGTGTACACTTCATCTGCTCCCGCTTTTTTCAGTTGATTTTTTAATATTTCAATTTGTGGCCGGTCTCTAACAACATTTACAGTCTTCACTCCCAATATACGACAAATCTGAATTTTAAATATTAAATATTATTGGACCCAGAGCTTAGGTTTCGTGAGAGGGAAGGAGAAACCTTTCCTAAAAGGAAAGTCTTTCCGCAATAAGTACCGGAAAAGGGTAGTTTTTCGTTCACAACGAAACGAAAAATTTTCGTACAGCTAGTGGAATTGCGGAATTAGTGTTTCCCAAAAGCGTGACACCAGACTTATTGGTTTAAGGCCTTGTTGTTTTACAGAAAAATTGGAGAAATGATAAAATTCTTTTAAATTTCAGGCCCGAATTGAGAACTTTACTAAACTTTTCTTTCTAATTTTCCTTCAATGCCAAAAAGTGAAAAAAAAATTCTAAATATATTTTTGGCCTCTTTAAACCTTCAAAAATTAAAAACCTGAATTACAAAATGACCAACAGAAGAATTCGCCCCATTTTGAACAACTATATCGCCATAAGATAAATTCACAAAATCTTTAAGCATTCTATAAGCAGTTGAAGGATTTACCTTAACACAAAATCTTTTAAAAAAATTTATTAAAAATCTCAAAAAACCTGTAACATTGACAAAAATATAAAATCCTTAACATCTCCCTCAACCAAAAAAAGTTCTTTAGAATCATAAATTCCGTGAGAACACCAAGTTCCAATACCAGAAATTGCTGGGACTATGAGGTCATTTTCTTTGAACTCAGCGACGTCGCTTCCCACCTTAAATTAAAAAAATTAAAAAATTTTTTTGGTAATTGTTGACTTTCCCTCGGTACTTTTCGGTTCTGCCACACCCCTCCCATATATTCGCAGGTTATATTTTATATTTTTCCTTTATGCATACAGAATGGTCAGACTTTCTCCTTTCTAGGGTAAGTTGTTTCAAGGAAAAACTGAGTAAATTATAATCTTTTCTTTATTAATGCCACTCATTGAACATGCCACAGGGAAAATTGAAGGAATTGAATAGAGGAGAAAGTTACATATGAAGGAAAAATATAAAAGGTAACCTGCGAATATATGGGAGGGGTGTGGCAGAACCGAAAAGTACCCTTTCCCTCTCCTTCCCCTAGCCAAAAATTTCCTTATTTTATGTTCGTTATGGAAAATTAATTTGCTTATGATTAAATTTAATATACTCAATAAAAAACATTCAGGAACCTCATATTTTAATAACAAAAACTAAACAAAATTAGAAGATGGCCCTAGACCCATGTAGGATTTATCATGTACCATATAATCAATCCCCTTCTAAAATTTCTCCGTTTCCCCATTTCGAGAGGGACTTTAGCCCCAGAAGCCCCACTGTATTTCCCCTCTTGGGAAGAGGGAAAGTACAATTTTACCCAAAACAAGGCCGAAAAAAATCATTTTAATTTTAGAAGTCTTAAAATTATAACCTTGATAACTTGAGCGCATCCTTCATTTCCTCCAACTGCAGGAAGATTTGGCTTAATTGGATAAACTAAAATAAATGTTCAAAATAACCACAAAAATTTGGAATAATCCCTCTAATGAATGAATACCAAAATCAGAATCAAATAAGGATTGATCCCCTGAGAAAATAACCCATTGGTAGATACAGAAAGAGAAAATGGCTGAACGAGTTTGCTTCTCCTTTTCCCACTACGTTTCGGAAACAGTTTTATTTTTATCAGTTCCGATCGACTACCTCCCATCTATTTTCTACTTAATTTTAAAAAATTCCAACCTCCTTGTACTTGATTAATATCAGCAGGATTTATTGGTGCAGCTAACCATTTAACCAAAACTTGTTGTCTTTCGAGTTTGTCAAATTCCAATTCTCTACTGGATAAAGTCAAAACCTTCAAAATAAAATTAGAAAAGAAAAACAAAAAAATACTTCTGCAGGATTTCCATGTTCTCGATAAATTAATTGTTGAATTGGTTGAGTAAAAAATCTTGTAGAATTAATAAAATTGGTAAGTTTAGTTTTGCAAAAGAGCATCCTCTAATAAAAATCAAATAAAATCTTAAGAAAAATTCTTCAGAAAAAACAAAAATTTAATTTAAGGATAGCCGGCAAAAACGGCGGTAATCTTGCGCTTTACTGGTGTCGCCGAAGCGACGTTTGCCATAATTGAATAAATATTTCCGATTAATTTATTGGTGATCTTTTGCACCGTCTAATTATTTAATCGTTTGTACCAGTTGCCCATATCTCTTTTGTTAGCCACACCCTTTTGTGCTAACCCCATTTCTGATCATTTCTCCTATGCTTATTCAATCATTTAATTTATTTTTAAGTTTTATAGCTAATTTTAGCTCTATTTATTCTCTGTGTTTTTTCTCCTTCACTTGTTTACATTCTTTCCCCACCTGCGCTTTATATAGTTTTTTTCCAACTTAGGTTTGGCCTTTAATCCATTTTAAATTCCTTTTAACTAATTAGGCCAAACTTAAGTCTTTCTTTCACTTATCACTATTTTATAGGTTTTAATTACCCAAGTTGAGTTCGAGGTCCGGAATAAATATTATAATTTGTTTATTCTTTCTTGCTTGGTATTCCTATTAATTCGCCGTCCTAAGGCGTGTCTGATCCCGCTCGTCCACTAAAGAGCGTGTGATCCATCCGCTCGTCCATTTAAGAGCCGCAATCCAATTAGCTCGCCAATCTACAGAGCTTTGGTTCCATCCTTTCGCCCACTAGAGAGGATCACATTTTAGAAGATTGAGGGATTCCCGGGATATTCCAGCTCAGCTACCTCCCGACTAGCTCAGCTCCTCTTCACTTAATTCAGTCTAATTCAACCTCCCGACAGCTGTGCGGTTCATACCGTCGCGCCGCACCCAGCTCTCATTCTTACAGCGACAACTGGTCCCTAGAAAAAAAATAAGGAAAAAGTGCTAGTTCGGCATTTTTGAGGTATGCCAGTGGGTAAACGAGCTTGCTGAGTCCGAATCTGAGCTTAAAATTTGTTTATTTCTAACCCCGAACCCGAATTCGACCAAGTCTAATTCGGGGTAAAAATTCAAAATTTCAAATTTTTTGTTTAATCGTACTCGTCTCTTCGAGCTGAGTCGATTGGTATGAAAATTATTACGTTCCGACATCTTTAGGCTAAGTTATGGTGTCTGATTTATATACGGAAGTCTAACCAAGCGTGTATTTAATTGATCATAACTCAGTCTAAAGTTGTCGAAACACAATAATTTAGATATCATTCAATTCAGCTTGTAGAGATGCGTCAGAATAGCGATAGCCTAATAATTTCGAATTCTTACCCCGAATTCGACTTGGTCGAATTCGGGGTCGGGGTTCGAAATAAACAAATTCTAAGCTCAGATTCGGACTCAGCAAGCTCGATTACCTACTGGCAACCTCAAAAATGTCGAACTAGCACTTTTTCCTCATTTTTTTCTAGGGACCAGTAAAGCACAAGATTACCAAAACGGCAAAAATTAACAGTCAACCGGGCGGAGACTGGTATCACCAAACTACCAAACTGTGGAAAAATAACATATTTAATTCTGTTATTATTACAGGAGAGGTTGTTCCAAGGGGTGTTCTAATTGAGGAATATTGTTCCTACAATGAGGGAAAAATTTTTAATTTATTTGGTATTATGACGTCATTTCCACAATTTGGTGTTGCAGTATTATACCCCCATTCAGAGGTCAAACTCCACTAAACTTGCAATATTCAGAAAGATCGACTTAAGTTTTCCGAAAAGAAAAAAAATTTTTAAAGTTAAAATATTTTAAAAAATATAATATTTTTTAAAATATACACAAAAATAAACAGAAAAAAATTTTTTTATTGTCGCAAAAATAAATAAGAATTCTCAATCAAAAATCAAAGAGAGAGATCGATTCAAGTAAATTATATAATGTTTTTTGTGATTCAAATTTTTAAAACCAGAAACCGGAAAATATAACATTTTTGAGCATATTTTTAAAGAGAAAATAAAATAATTGGAAGATCAAAATTTTTAAGTTTTTCGAAAAAAAAATTTTTTTTTAATTTTTAAATTACTTTTCTTTCATTTTAAATTCAATTGTTGTTGTTCTTCCCTTGGTGAATCTCCTGAAAAGCATCCGCCATCTCAATAAACGTGGTTGCCGCAGTTCGAAGCATAGTGGCCACACGCTGATGAAGAAGAGTACATCCATGACATTGCGATGTGGCTGAAAACGAAAAATATTTAAAATAGACCCAACTTTTAGATATGGAGTTTGCATGGAGAAATCCTATCCAATAATGCGGCAGATGAGAATAGAGGGGAATCACATAGGAATTAAATAGGGAGGGGGATCTGTTATGTTGTGCTTACATAAAAAGCGCGTATCCCCTCAAAATCTCTATTCCTTAAAATCTCTACTGGGCTAAAATGCCTTATAATCTCTACACAGCTAAAATGCACTAAAATCTCTACTCGGCTAAAAATGATTAAAATAACTATTCCTTAAAATCTCTATTCCTCATAATCTCTACACGGGAAAAATGCCTTAAAATCTCTACACTGCCAAATATAGGATAAAATGTCTATTTTTCATTGGAAGCCTTTTGAGTACCAACGTTAAGTGCGGAAACATTGTTTTGATTTCTGGATTATCTTTTGATCTGATTTCTGGATTATCTTTTGCTTGTATAGTTTTTGCCTCTGCGGGTGAACCCAGGCATGTCCAGCGGAACGACAGCAGCCGCTTCGATACGATCACCGCAAGGAAAACGAACACGACCGCAGCGAAGCAGTCGTGTCTTATATTTCTGATATTTAAGGCGGATACAGGCGGATATGTTTTTAAACTAATTGTATCCGTATCCATTAACAAGTCTGGTTTTTCCAGAGAAAGATTCAGATGGTACACTTTTGTTGAGACTCAACCGTCCATTTGCGAGGTGTAGAGATTTTAATTATTTTTACCCCAGTAGAGATTTTAAGGAATAGTTATTTTAAGGAATAGAGATTTTAAGCATTTTTAGCCTAGTAGAGATTTTAAGGAATAGCGATTTTAAGGAATAGAGGTTTTGTATGGGAGCCAAAAAGCGTCTTGCAGAAGAAAACAACATTCAAAAGAAGGAGAGACTAAATCGCGTCTCCTCATTCTTAATGCTATTTTCTTCCGCAAGACGCTTTTTATGTAGGCACAACATTAAGGAGGTATTAAATAGGGTGAATTACTTTGGGATCTATCACCCAGTAACCAATTTTAAGAGGCATATCTATAATGTGAAGTATCCAATTCCAACAATAAGTATAGTACGGGTCAGGAAACAATATTAAGGGATTTCACAGGATCCACAAACCTTAAACCTGGGGTCATAAAAGAGATTTGTCCGTCGTGGGAAACAAATAAATGTAACAAAAATTAAAAAAAACACTAACAAAGATTTGTCGGAGCGACACTTCCACTGTTGATACCCGAAGTAGCCGTTCCTCCACTCATAACAGAGTAACCAAAGACCGGAAGGGGCTTTAGCGGAAACTACGGAAAAAACAAGTCAACTAATTTTTTAAAGTGTTAGACAAAAAACGAGATAGTGTGCTATTCTGTGTATTAACATAAGAGAGACACCCCTTGACAGACAAAAAAATTTTTATTTTTAAATTAAAATCCTCTAAAAATTAAATTAAGGGACATGATGCAATGCATGCCGAAATGTTTATTGTTTTTATTGTTTCAATGGTCATTGCCCAAATTTGTTTAATGATTTGGAGAAGAAAACATGTTCGGTCCTACCAGGTTTATTTTTTTAAAAATTTTCAAAAAAAATTTTTTTTCTTCACAGATTGCAACCCTTCTCGGTTTATGGCTAATCCCACTGATTATTTGTATACAAAAATTTTGGTGGCGATTTTTGTTAAGTTGGGTTTTGTTTACTTCTGCAAGTTGGTATATTTGGTGGAGAGTTAATCAAACTGTTATTATGGGAAGTACTCCAAGGTTTGTTGGTTTTTTTGAAGTCAGGGAAAAAGCGAAGCTTGAACAAAAAACGTTTTTTCGACGAATTGACCGGAACCGAAAACCAGAGGGTCGAAAACCGAACGATAACCGAAAATAAAGAGTATCGGTTAATGATAGGCTGTGTCCAATTTTATTTTTTAACTAGAAATTAGACACTCGGTCAACTCTCTAAAAAAATTTTTTTGATTATCACAAGTTTTCTTTTAATTTTTTTGTGAAAATAAACCAAAAATCTCCAAACTCCCCCCCCCCCCATTTTCCAAAAAGATTTTTTTCCAATTTTTTAGACTAGTCTACAAATATTTTCTTTTTCTTCACAAAATGAGCTATATTTTTGGAATTATTGGCTATTTCGCTTTACTTTTTACTTTAATTGGAATAAATTTAATTTTTGGAATCAGACCAAATACTTCTTTGGATTTTGGAATTCATTTTTTGTTTTATGGACTTTATTATGGAGTGTTAAGTAGAGATTTGGCACATATTTTGACTGACAGACTTGCCTGCAAAATTGGGGTATTTTTTTAAATTTTATTGGGGGGAAATTTAGGGGAGAATTTAAGAAAATTGAGAGTTTGTGTAGTTTCCCTCCCATAAGCCCCGCCCTTTTTTTCTGTCTTCCTTTTATTTTTCGTGAGTCCAGTGAAAATTTATAAGTCCAAAAATGTCCTTTGGACTCTTTTTGAGGGGAATTTTAAGGAAGGCTAAGTAAATTTAGTATTTGTGTAGTTTCCCTCCCATAAGCCCCGCCCATATCTATTAGGAGTCTATTGAAGATTTATAAGTCCAAAAAAAAGTTCATTTGACTCGTAAAACTAGACTAGAGCCAATTTGGCTTTTTCCTAGAAAAAATTAAAAAAACGAGACAGAAGGTCAAGAAGACGGGATCCACTCATTTTTCACCGTCAGTCGAAAAAATTTTAACTCCAGTAGATCCAATCGACTTTTATGCGTCCAATAAAAAGAAAATTGGATTTTTCTTGGTATTGCAAAGTTAGGGTGTGGTTCCACAACATTTCTTCATGTTCGGGACCTACGCTCACTGGGTTTGGGACCATTCATTACCCTATCCCTCAAATCCATTGGACGCATAAAAGTCTATTGGACGCATAAACTGGAGTAGAGCCAAGATTTATATCTTTTTTTATTTTTCCCCTCCCAAAATATTTTTCCTTTCCTTCATTACTCGTTGTATTTTTAATTAAAAAAAATTCTTTTTAAAGTATTTTACTCATGATGGTTTACCCAAAAGGGTATTAGAAAATGGTGTTTGTGCTGTTTGTGGTAATCCATTACATTCTTTATCAGAAAATGGAAGTCATTTAAATTTACAAAATGGGCATACTCCAACGGTGCTTTCTGAAGCTATGGAAGTTGAAGAAGAAAAGGTTTCTCTTATTAAAATAAAAAATAGGAAAAAATATTTTGGAAAAAGATTTAATAATTTTGGGTATTTCTATTTGATTTATCAATATTTATTGATAGAAATTTTGTAGCACCCTCCCAAAACACGGAACATTTCTAAAATCAGAATTTTAAAAAAATTCGAGAATTTCTGTTTTTAAAAATATTTCGTATTTTTGTCGTTCCCGTACTTTTGGTAGACCGCGTTTTGTCTGTTTCTCGTTTTGACCCTCAACCTTTTTCCACTACACCAAAAAGCACACTTATTCTAAAACTTTGATTAATTTTCTTTCTAAATTTCTCTAGATATATACACTTTCCTGTAACCATGTATTCCATGAATTTTGTATTAGAGGTTGGTGTGTGGTAGGAAAATTACAAACATGTCCTTATTGCAAAGAAAAAGTTGATTTGAAGAGAATGTTCAAAAATCCGTAAGAATTTTAATATTAAAAAATTAATTTTTTTGTCGTTCATTTAGATTGAAAAATATGTAGAGAAATAGGTTTCATGGTTTCTTTAACGGGAGAGGAGCCTTTTTCAAATTAGAAAAAATTTAAGGAAGATTTTTATAAGGAAATACCTCAAGGGATTTTTCAGACACTTGGGTTGTCCTTAGGTTCTCACAAAATAAACGGAACATCTCGGAAAAACATCTACAAGAATATGCAAAATTTCCTGAAATATATACGAGGGGAGGGGGCGAAATATGCAAATATATGCATTAAAACCGGGTCCTAGACATTAAAACCGGGTCCTGGACTTGTTACTTAAGACATCGTCTCACTTCGCTTTGTGAACCTAGACAGCTTTGTGAACCCCTAGTTATCCTCCTATTTTTAAAATTTCTTAAATCAAATATTTCCATTTCTTTTTTTAGATGGGAAAAACCTCATTTATTTTATGGACAATTGCTTGATTGGGTACGCTATTTGGTTAGTTTTCTATCAAATTTTTATCAGAAAACATTTTAATATTAGGTCGCTTGGCAGCCTATTATTGTAATGATTGTTCATTTTATTAACACATACATGGGACTTGAATAAATTTTTTTTGTTAAATTTTATTTTTGCTGTAAAACTATTTTTTCTTGTAAATTTTACAAAAATAAATTATTTTTAAAAATAATAAAAATCTGTAAAGTCTCTTTCAGAAAACAAAATTTAAAAAATAGACAAAAATAACCCAAAATAAATAATTTTTAAAGTAGTAAGTGTCTTTTAATAATTTTCAGAAAAGAACCTCAAAATTAATCAAAATAATGGTGATTCCCTTTCTTCGTAAAAATCTGTTTTGACTTAATCGACGACGGGTCTGATTGAGTTGATTGATTTATTGCATCCTTATATTCCTCCAAATTTTTTCTTTGATATTTTGGAAGTGTCAATTCTCCATTTTTATACCAACCAATTAATTCTTTATACATATTCTTCCTTTCCTAAATTATTAAAATTCTTATACAAGCAAACAAATAATCCCTTCCTAACCCCACTCCTTAACTATACACTATTTTAATCAGGATTTTAATTCGGTTTCGCCTATTCTATTAGACCAGAGTGTAGAAAAGTCGCAAATCCGTGATCCCAAAATGGGGCTTTTCAAAAGGTCGAATGGGGCGGGTCCCAGTAATCCCGATTGTCACTTAAAACAAGAAAAGGACCCCGTCCCCAGCTCCACATTAAAATAGACCCTTCCAGATTTAAGATTTTTTTAAACCAAGCATTCAAGGAAAGGACCCCGTCCGAGCCCAACATTAATGTAAACCCTTCCAGGTTAAAGATTTTTTTTAGTTATGCTGCAAAAACTGCTGAAAAAGCTGCTGAAAGATGCAGAAAGACTCAGAAACTATACTTCCAATCATCTCCTAGAAAATATCCCTTGTCCTAGATATCAGCGAAAACCTCTCACGTTAATTCCAATAATTAATTAACCTCAATATTTTGCCTCATTTCATACCATCTAGTCATCCAAAACCCAACAGACTTTGTATTTGAAAAAATTAAGGAAGAGGTTGTAACATTTACTGGATTTTGAGACATTCCTCCATACGTCACCATGGTACCTCCAAGCTCGAGAGCACGGCTCAAAATCATTCCACTCTTTCCTCCAACACAATTTAAAGCCAATTTTGCGTTGAGTTTGTTGGAACGAATTAAAGTAGAAAACTTTAAGAAAAAAATTTTTTTTAATGTGGAGGAATTTTAAAAATTTTAAACCTCTTCTTCTGTATAAACTTCATCTGCTCCAGCTTTTTTCAGTTGATTTTTTAATATTTCAATTTGTGGCCGGTCTCTAACAACATTTACAGTCTTCACTCCCAATATACGACAAATCTGAATTTTAAATATTAAATATTATTGGACCCAGAGCTTAGGTTTCGTGAGAGGGAAGGAGAAACCTTTCCTAAAAGGAAAGTCTTTCCGCAATAAGTACCGGAAAAGGGTAGTTTTTCGTTCACAACGAAACGAAAAATTTTCGTACAGCTAGTGGAATTGCGGAATTAGTGTTTCCCTGACACCAGACTTATTGGTTTAAGGCCTTGTTGTTTTACAGAAAAATTGGAGAAATGATAAAATTCTTCTAAATTTCAGGCCCGAATTGAAAACTTTACTAAACTTTTCTTTCTAATTTTCCTTCAATGCCAAAAAGTGAAAAAAAATTCTAAATATATTTTTGGCCTCTTTAAACCTTCAAAAATTAAAAACCTGAATTACAAAATGACCAACAGAAGAATTCGCCCCATTTTGAACAACTATATCACCATAAGATAAATTCACAAAATCTTTAAGCATTCTATAAGCAGTTGAAGGATTTACCTTAAAAACAAAATCTTTAGAAAATTTATTAAAAAATCTCAAAAAACCTGTAACATTGACAAAAATATAAAATCCTTAACATCTCCCTCAACCAAAAAAAGTTCTTTAGAATCATAAATTCCGTGAGAACACCAAGTTCCAATACCAGAAATTGCTGGGACTATAAGGTCATTTTCTTTGAACTCAGCGACGTCGCTTCCCACCTTAAATTAAAAAGAAAATTTAAAAGAATTTTGGCTAAATTTTTTGACTTTCTCCCCTTTCCCCTAGAAAAAAATTCCTTATTTTACGTTCGTTAGGGAAAATTTATTTGCTTATGATTTAATTTAATATACTCAATTAAAAAATTCAGGAACCTCATATTTTATAAAAACAAAATTAGTAGGGTTGCCGTTTTCGAGTCGAGGCATATTTTTTTGGCTTGTTTTTAGCAAACGAGTCACCTTCGGGCTAATATCTTACTTAAACCTGACTCGATCATTCGGTCCGAGTCGGACAATTTTGACAACCCTAAGTATTAGAGAAGGTCCCAGACCCGTATAGGATTTAATGCAACCCCGGAAAAAATTTTGGGAAGAGGGGAAACACAATTTTACCTCAAACAAGGCCGAAAAAAATCATTTTAAAATTTTAGATTTTTAAAGTTTTAAAATTATAACCCTGATAACTTGAGCGCATCCTTCATTTCCTCCAACTGCAGGAAGATTTGGCTTAATTGGATAAACTAAAATAAATGTTCAAAATAACCACAAAAAGGGATAATCTCTCTAATCACTAAAAACCAAAATCAGAATTAAATAAGGATTGATCCCCTGAGAAAAGTAACTAATTGGTAGACCCAAAAAGAGAAAAAAGGCTAACCGAAATTTTGCTTCGCCCTTTCCCCTTTCGTTTCGGAAACAAAAAATTTTATTTTAACAGCTCCAATCAGGAACATCCCATCTATTTTTCTACTAATTAAAAAAATTCCCAACCTCCTTGTACTTGATTAATATCTGCAGGATTTATAGGTGCAGCCAACCATTTAACCAAAACTTGTTGTCTTTCGAGTTTGTCAAATTCCAATTCCTTATTGGATAAAGTCAAAACCTTCAAAATAAAATTAGAAAAGAAAAACAAAACAAATACTTCAGCAGGATTCCCATGTTCTCGATAAATTAATTGTTGAATTGGTTGAGTAAAAAATCTTGTAGAATTAATAAAATTGAAAAGTTTAGTTTTGCAAAAGAGCATCCTCTAATAAAAATCAAATAAAATCTTAAGGAAAATTCTTCAGAAAAAACAAAAATTTAATTTAAGGATAGCCGGCAAAAACGGCAAAAATTAACAGTCAACAGGGCGGAGACTGGTATCACCAAACTACCAAACTGTGGAAAAATAACAAACATATTTAATTCTGTTATTATTACAGGAGAAGTTGTTCCAAGGGGTGTTCTAATTGAGGAATATTGTTCCAACAATGAGGGATTATGACGTCATTTCCAAATTTGGTGTTGCAGTATTATACCCCCATTCAGAGGTCAAACTCCACTAAACTTGCAATATTCAGAAAGATCGACTTAAGTTTTCCGAAAAGAAAAAAAATTTTTAAAGTTAAAAATATTTTAAAAAATTAAATATTTTTTAAAATATACACAAGAATAAACAGAAAAAAATTTTTTTATTGTCGCAAAAATAAATAAGAATTCTCAATCAAAAATCAAAGAGAGAGAGATCGATTCAAGTAAATTATATAATGTTTTTTGTGATTCAATTTTTTAAAACCAGAAACCGGAAAATACAACATTTTTTGAGCATATTTTTAAAGAGAAAATAATTGGAAGATCAAATTTTTTAAGTTTTTCGAAAAAAAAATTTTTTAATTTTTAATTACTTTTCTTTCATTTTAAATTCAATTGTTGTTGTTCTTCCCCTGTTGAATCTCCTGAAAAGCATCCGCCATCTCAATAAACGTGGTTGCCGCAGTTCGAAGCATAGTGGCCACACGCTGATGAAGAAGAGTACATCCATGACATTGCGATGTGGCTGAAAACAAAAAATATTTAAAGTAGACCCAAATTTTAGATAAGCCGTTGGGATGAAAATAACCTATCCAATAATGCGGCAGGTGAGAATAGAGGGGAATAACATAGGAATTAAATAGGGAGGGAGGTTTGTTATGTTGTGCTTACATAAAAAGCGTCTTGCAGAAGAAAACAACATTCAAAAGAAGGAAAGACAAAAGCACGTTTCCTCATTCAAATTGGTATTTTCTTCCGCAAGACGCTTTTTATGTTGGCACAACATTAGGGATGAATTAAATAGGGTGAATTACTTAGGGCCCCATTCACCCAGTGGTCAACCAACTTTTAAGAAGCATAATGTATAATGTGAAGTATTTAATTCAGAAAATGAGTAGAGCAAGTGTCAGGATATTCAGGGATTTGACAGGATCCACCATCCTAAGTCTAGGGTTATAAAACAGAGATTTGTCCGTTTGTGGGGTGTAAATAAGTGTAACAAGAATTAAGAAAAAAACAAACAAAGATTTGTCGGAGCGACACTTCCACTGTTGATACCCGAAGTCGCCGTTCCTCCACTCATAACAGACGCAGAACACTCGACATTGGTCTTTGATGTCGGTTCATGAACAATATCCGGTTGAGTTTGAAAAGCCACAGCAGCATTACCTCCAAACGGAACAGGCTTATTCTCCACTGGAGATTTTATTGGAATGTTGTCAGTCTTGGGAATCCATGGAGCGGTGGTGTCCATACGCGTCGACGAATCAAAGCCAACTTCAGGCAAAGCTTCAGACGGAACTGAAAAATTAATTGAAAAAAGGAGTCAATAAGTTAAAAATAAAAACCTTTTGGCTGTGGAGGCACGTAAGAAGGCAAACGTTTAACCTGGATTGTTTGAGACAAACCACCACGTCCACCGCTTAAATGAAAAGGATGATTAAATAATGTGGGTAATTTTTTCAAAAATAAAAAACAATGGGAATTCAGGACTAGTATAAAGAACCGCAAATGGTAGAGTAATTAAAACAAACAACAATTAAAGTACCCAATCATTGAAACTCAGTCCCAATACTTTAATGCCTTGAAAAGAAAAAAATAACCTGTAGTTAAAATGACTAACAGCAGTCTCCGCTTGAGGACGAGATCCTCCCCTTCCCTGTCCATTTGAATCCCCTCGACCTCCTCCACGACCACGTCCATTAAACCCACGGCCTTGACTACCATTGAACGATTGATTCTGATCAGATTTGTTAATTCCACGAGGCGGTCCACGACGTTGCATAACCATTTTAATTTGACGAAAGCTTGATAAGTTAGTAAATACTTAAAGACAGAAAAATCGTAAAAGCATAGAAAAAGTCAAAAAATATAAATTGAAAATTCAACAAATTATGACACAAATCAAAAGACAAAAAATTTTTTTATTAAAGCATATCTTCAGGAATATATAATAAAGTCAAACGAACGAAGATTATCTTCAAAAATAAATGTTCTTATTCCTGTTCAACAACTTGAGAGGTAACTTCAGCATCATATTCAAGCTCGTCGTCAACAGTTGCATCTTGATATTGCTGGTACTCAGAAATCAAGTCGTTCATGTTGGACTCGGCTTCCGTGAATTCCATCTCGTCCATACCTTCGCCAGTGTACCAGTGAAGGAAGGCCTTGCGACGGAACATGGCTAAACGAGAAAAATGTTTTTTAAACAAGAAAAAAATCGTTTACCCGTGAATTGCTCAGAGATGCGTTTGAACAGTTCCTGGATGGCGGTGGAGTTGCCAATGAAGGTCGCCGACATTTTCAGACCACGTGGAGGAATGTCACAAACCGCAGTCTTAACGTTGTTTGGAATCCATTCAACGAAGTAAGACGAATTCTTGTTTTGAACCGACATCATTTGATCGTCCACTTCACGCATTGACATGTGACCACGGAAGATGGCAGCAACAGTCAAATAACGTCCATGGCACGGATTACAAGCAGCCATCATATTCTTGGCATCGAACATTTGCTTGGTCAATTCCGCAACATTTTGAGCTTGGAAAGCAACAGAACCTTTAGCTGCGAGTGGAGCAAATCCAGGCATGAAGAAGTGAAGTCGAGGAAAAGGCACCATATTGACAGCCAACTTGCGAAGGTCTGCATTCAACTGGCCAGGAAAACGAAGGCAAGTAGTAACTCCCGACATTGTATAAGAAACTAAAATAAGACCTTTAACATTAGTTAGGTGACAAAAACAAACCAAGATGGTTCAAGTCGCTATATGTTGGGTTTGGAAGTTTAAGCGTGCGGAAGCAAATATCGTACAGAGCCTCGTTGTCGATGCAGTAAGTCTCATCAGTATTCTCAACAAGTTGATGTACCGAAAGAGTTGCGTTGTAAGGCTCCACAACCGTGTCAGAGACCTGAAAGATTGAATGATGGAAGGTCTAGAAAGTTAAAAACAACCTTTGGCGAAGGAACAACAGAGAAGGAAGACATAATGCGGTCCGGATACTCCTCACGAATCTTTGAAATGAGCAAAGTTCCCATTCCAGAGCCAGTTCCACCACCAAGCGAATGAGTCAATTGAAAGCCTTGAAGACAATCACAACCCTCAGCCTCTTTCCGAACAACATCCAAAACATTGTCGACCAACTCAGCTCCCTCAGTGTAATGTCCTTTGGCCCAATTGTTGCCTGCACCGCTCTGGCCAAAGACAAAGTTGTCTGGACGGAAGAGACGACCATAAGGACCAGCCTTGATAGCGTCCATTGTCCCCGGCTCTAAGTCAACAAGAATAGCACGCGGGACATACTTGCCTCCTGGAAAGTTAAAACTATGATTTAACATCAAAATCAAAAAAAAAACCATAAGCCTCATTGTAGTAGACATCCATACGTTCAAGCTGCAAAGGAGAGTCGCCTTGGTAAGAACCGTCAGGTTGAATTCCATGCTCATCCGAGATAACCTCCCAGAACTTGAAAATTTTAAAAATTGAGTCAGTTCTATAGAGCTTGAATCAAAACCTTGGAACCGATTTGGTTTCCGCACTGTCCAGCTTGAATGTGAACGATTTCACGCATTATTGATTCTTTCGCTTGTTAAATAAAAACAATTTATACTTAAAAAAGTACTCTATAAATAAAAAACAAATTAAATAAGAGCCCTCTCCATCAATTTCTAACTCGACAAACTAATTTAAAATGAACCTTTTGGATGGGAAAGTGCCCTTTTATAAGACTTTTAAACAGAATTTAAAATTTTTTGGCCGCGCTTTCGTTTCGAAAAGTCGAAAATACGTTTGCCCAAATTACATTTAACCTACTTTAACAGATCTCTACATTTCGTCATTGGAGTTTGGTCATCTTCCCCGCTTAAAAGAAAATTTCTTGGTCCATTGGGATAATGCTTGGTTTCTAGGGAAGGTTGGGGAAGGTTCGAACCTTTTTGACTTAAATTATTTTTTTAAGCAGTGAAAACTTTTCAGGATTGACTAAAGTTTGTAGCTAATTGTCTGTTCATCTCATATTTTCGTTTTATATTATAAAGCATATCAAAGTCCACTATTATCTCCAATGATTTCTTATGTGACAAACAATTTTATCCCTCCTACTTTACAACTATTTAATTCTTTTGTTTTCTTTTACAAGTGGTTCAGTTGTTAGCTTTATGATTAATTATTGTTTTATGATGTTTTAGCTAACTTATATTATTGTTTCGCATTTTCCTAGTTCGTAAATAAAAGCTTTTAATACTTCGGTGTTTTCGGTGTTGGGAAGAAACCAAGGGACTTGATCAACCCCGAGGGTCTTCTAGGAACGTCCCGATCACAACCTCCCCGTTACGTTATCCCTTAACATCTGGAAAGGGTTTAGCCGCTTCGGCGCACAAATAATTATAGGAATAACAGTAGGTAAACCACCCCCACAAAGAATACATTTTACTGGTAGCACCGGACAAGACTGTCACCGGGGGAGTAACGGGGAAAGAATACAGGAAAACTAGGTAAATCCCGGGACTAATAATAATTAAAAAAAAAAGATAAACCGGTATAAAAATAAAGTAAGGGCAGTGCACCTAAGTCCCAAACCTTCGGGTTAAAAATACATAAATATAAAATAAGGTTAAAATATTAATTTTTAGTAGATTAAAAAACCTTCGAGTTAAAAATATATAAATATAAAATAATTTTAAAATATTAATTTTTGGGTAATTAACCACCTTCGGGTAAACATCAAAAACAAAAATAAATTTAAAAAAAATATATATATACTTTAACCTTCAAAAATCCCGTCGGGAAAACTCGAAAACACACCGATAAAAAAAAAAAAAAATCGAGATTATAAAATATATATCCTCCTTTTTTTTTTTTTTTACTTTCCCATATATTACAACAACGGAAATTATTCATTTAAAAATAAAAAGAAATATTAATAATATTTTTTTTCAACTAGATAAGATCGCAATAAGTCTTTTCTTCACCTTTTAGTCTCTCTTGTCGTTCACACATAAATTATTTTTATTTTTACAAAAAAAATGTTGAGATGAAAAACTAAAGGATAACATTTCATTTTATTTTTATTTTAAACCTTTAAATTATTCATATTTAATTTAAATTTTACATTAGAAATATATTTTTGTTTACATTTAAAACATATATTTTATATAAGTATTTGAACGTTGTTAGTCCAAAAGTTTTGTTTAGACAAAAAAATTTCTTCTTACCGTATTTTCTTGATTAATTCCCCTTCCTAAAAACTCGAATAATTCCCCTCTCTCAAAAGAGCAATCAAGATATAGGATTTTAAGGATAACGTAGTATTAGAGGATAGCAATGGATTTGAACGTAATAAGAGAATATTAGAAGATTGAAGGGATATCGAGAAAATACAGTATTTATGTTTTTGGTCCTTATTTTTCTCATTTTTCTTGAATCGGTCACAACTTCCTTATCATAATTACTCAAATAATTGTCCTGTGTGGTTATTTTTTTCTATACTCTTGACGATAAGAGTAATTATTCGAACATATATAATTTTTATTTTTTCTAAAAAGTTCAATTTATTCAGATTATTGGATTTCATTTATTGGATTAGATTATTTGGATTCAATTTATTTGGATTTGTCAAACGTGAGTCAACAAAAAAAAATTCTTTTTTGAATTAAGTTTAAACAAATAAAAAACATATTTGAATATTTTTAGTTCAAGAAAAAATTTTTTTTTTTTAAGCTATAATTATACATTTAACGTAGTGAAATTTCAGGAACTACAATCAACAAGAAAAAACCTTCGGGACTACAACATCTACCTTTGTTTTTGTGTGAACTTGGGATTTTTTTGGCCTTTTCTTTACTTTGTTGAAAAGGGTGAGTAAAATAAATAAAATATAATAAAATTGAATTATTTTTTTAAAAAAACAAATTTTTCTACATCTTCTCTAAATTCTACTTATTTTTTTTACTTTTTGAAATCGCTCTCTTTAGTCACCATCTATTTTATTTTTTTTAAGTATGTAAAACAGAAAACTTCAATTTAGCCGTATTTTCGAAATTACAGTATTTACAGTATTTCCGATAATAAAACCCCACCCTAATATAGAGCCACATTTTTTTTTAAAAAAAATGCCTATAATTTAATTACTAATTGATATTTTCTAATATTATGCTGTTTTTTTTTTTTTTTCATTTATTTTAAGCTTAATAAATCAAATAGGAATGGAAAAATTATTCTAAAGATTGTAATCCTACTTCTAGGGAAAGCTTTTTCGAATTTTCGATTTAAAAAAATTACACCTTCCAAAAATACTGAACTGACTTAGAATTTACTTGTAATTTTTGGTTTGTAATCGGTAAAATGGCTCTCACGGGGTCCTTTAATAGTGGTTTTTTTTTCAGAAATCGAGTTGGTGGAAACTCGCGAGATTAATAATTTGAATCCCGTAAATCTTCGTTTGTACTTCCTTTCAGTCTAAATGGAGGAATACATAGGGAGTAGAACTAATTAAGAGTATGCGTATTAACAGGGATAATAACAACTTAAGCCTATATCAATATACTTTATTATATTCAGACCCCATTTTGTCACAGAGGGGACAATTATTGGATTATTTTTAATGGAATGCCAATGGAGGACTTTTTGAGATCAGCTGATATCCTTTCAAATTAACTGATATTCTCTCAATCTCTCTGGTTTTCTCGATATCACGCTCTCATTTTCGATATCTCTCAAAATCCTCCTTGTCCTTTCTTAATCTCATTAAGCTATTAAAAAAAAACCGAGGTATAATATAGAGAGAGGACTAAAACTTGGTCCTTTACCAGGTGTATTTTTATTATAAGTTTAATTATTTCTAAAATTTAATTGTTTTTATTATAAAAGTTTAATTTTTTTTGAAGAAATGGTTAGCCTACCAAGGTCAAAATTTTATCAGATAATTTGAAAAATAGGTTGAAAAATAGAGCCCAATGGGGCTCTATTTTCGGAAATACGGTAAATCTAAAAAAAAAAATCTTTGATATGTTAGAATTTAATAATTATAAATATAACAATAAATCTTGGCCAGTCAATTTCTTCTCCTCTAGGTAATTTTTTTCGTATTACTCACTCTCAGTTTATCAAATAAAAGAACGTTTATATAAATATTTTAAAGGTGAATTACCGTAAAACTGTATTAATGTCCCTCCCTGAATTAATTACCCCACCACCTGTATTAAAACCCCATGTAATGAGAGATCAAATCAATAATTGCCCTCCCTCAAATAATTACCCCTATTTTTTTCGCATACATTATTTAAAAGAAATTGTTTAAAAAAAAAATCGTTATAAATTTTAAGTATAATATAGGTAAAAAAAATAATAGGAGATTAAAAGGATTTGGGGAATTATCGAGAGATTTATGTAAGTCAAGTGAAAAATAATTCGTCTCAAAAAAAATCTTTTTAACAATTTCTGACTCTTCCTATAATCTGCGATTTACTACGTGACTTTATACATTTCAAAACGAAATTATTGTTGGTATGGCACCACTTTTAGGTAAATTATATAAAAGTTTGATAAGAGAATGTAGAGTATATTCCTTAAATAGGAAACATAGATACTTGTACACCTTTATTATTTACCCCCTCCAGTGAGAGATCGAAACAATAATTAACCAGGGTAATTAATAGTTTTTACGGTAATATCTTTTTGATTTATAAACGACTATATATAATTTTTTTAAGTTTCGTTCGAAAAACTCTATTTTCTCGCTTCCTACTATTAATTCGTTATTTTTAAATCTTATTTAACGTTCAGAGTGATAGCTCTCTATTGATTAGTAATCGCCTTAACAAATATTGTTTTAACAAAAATAACTAAAGTTAAAAAAAAAATCTAATAATATCATCGGTTCATTTATTAAAGAGGTGTTCTTCGACTGTCAACTGTCTCCAGTCTTGCTGTGTTTTGTTTGATTGGGTGCTCAATAACACTTTGTGCTCTCTCGGTTTTACTTCGGTGATATATTGTATCTTCGTGCTTCTATTGGTGAAAAGTAGGCAGATTTAAACTCATTAAAAAAATATATAAAAATAAAAAAAAAAAAATATATTCAAATTAGATTGAATTAATTAAAATTTAAAAGGGGATTAAAAAGTAGTGCCGTATCTGATTAAAATAACCGAAGTCAGTAAAAGTAGTTAAAGTATGACTGAAACTTTTGAGGATTGGGACATCTCAGTCTGTGATAAAAAATTATTAGAATCTAAAATATTCTCTAATCCTGCGAAAATAGGAGATTTGGATAAAGTACATAAAGAGGTTTTGGGTTTAGAAGAGGCAGTCAGTAGAACCTTTAGGGTTGTAAATAGGAACATTAGTCAGCTCAATGAAGCTGACGCTGGCATCCAAAAGGATACCAACGCCGGGTTTGCTCTAGTTGCTGGTAGAGTAGATAAACTAGATTTAAAACTAGGCAAATTAGAAGAAAAATACGAGAAATTTGTAATTGATTTAGAGTCGCGCGACAATCTTGAATACGATGAAATAAGAAGCAGCGGTGCGTCAAGACTGCTTACTTTAAACAAAAGACAAGAAATAATTCCTCCGATACCGCCACAC